CACGAGGGGCGGATGTAGGGTGGACAGCGTGCACTTGGGACGGCTGCGATAGAGCGGACGCACGAGTGGAGTGGGATGCTGCGATGGGCTCGACGAGCGAGTGCGAGCAGGACGCGATGACGGGAGTCACGCGCGGGGCGTTGGTCGAATGGGACGACGAGGGCGATGAAGTGATCGTGCGCGACACACGCGCACATGGCTGGGACGCGTCCGATGCGATTAGCGAGTGAGAGAGTGAAGCCGAGCGACTGGACGTGCGGGGCACTCGCGCGATGGGCGAGCACGCGCGGGCAGAGGGGCGAGGGCGCGCAGCGCGCATGGATGGCAACACGTGGGAGGCACGCGCGCATTACTGCGTGCAAGGAGGACTATGGCTAGCGAGGCGGCGCGCGACACGGACGGCTAGGGTTTGGGGCGCGCGACGACTTGGCGGGCAAGCAAGAGATTTGGGACGTGATTTACTTGGCATAATTAGAAGTATTTATACTTATATTAAAAGGTATACCATTTACCAAATTTAGTATAAAGAAAAGTCAACAACATTTATTGCATTACTATTTCCGTATTATACAATCTATACTTATATAAAAGGAGATTCTATTTACTACATTTACTATCAAGAAAAGTCAACTGCATTAAATGTCATTACTATTTTGATATTATATTATTTTATTTATTTAATTGATTTATTTATTTGCTTTATTTTAAAAAGGTAAGTATAATAAAAAGATTTTAATAATAAAAAAATCAAATACCAAATAAAAATGTACACTTTGACTTATTTGATTATATTTGATATTTGATTATACCAAATATATTCCTATTTAGTATATATATTAAATACTTACTAAGGAATTTATTTATTTTATTTGTCAAAGTTAAGTATAGATTTGTTTATATTATCAAATCATAAAAAAATATTAAAACCATATTGTTAAAAAAAAAATCATATAATTTTATAACAATTGTACTACACTATTTTTTTTTTTTTTTCCAACCGGCATAATCACTCATATATATCATCAAAAAGACAAGAATGTTCAAAGGTACAAACCAATACCGCAATACATGAGAGGCCAAGTACTCCACGGTACTGCCTAACCGAGACTAACATAATTAAGAAAGCATACAAACTGGATCAATCACAACCTAAATCAAATCAGATCAGGAACTAACACCCTAGAAATAACAAAAAACACAGAAGAAAATAACACCACTGACTCGAGACCTAGTGCATCCTCCTCCATTTCTGTCAAGTCTTGGCTTGGTGATAGGTAAATTCCAGCCACTCTTGCATAGCTGTTCTGATGATCCATGACTCAGACTGCCACTTCTTCTCAAACACCCACAGGTTTCGAGCACGCCACAACCACCATAGAATGTAGGTTGACAGTTGGATTCTATCCTCACAAATGTCTTGCTTCTTCATTGTGCTAATCCACCACCACCATTCCTTGAAGTTCATTTGGTCTTGTTGTATTCTATTCCATTTGACTGGGGCTAACTTCCAGGTAATTCTAGCCCTCCTACAGTGAAACAACACATGATCCTGTGTCTCTTCAGATTCTCCACAGACACTACACAAGCTCTCCACTTCCATCCCCCTGCTGATAATGTTGGCATTTACTGGTAAGATATTTGAGAAGCCTCTCCAAATAAAATGTTTGACCTTGTTAGCCACTTTCAGTTGCCAACATCTGAGTCTTGCTCTGCTATTTCCTTCAGCACTCTGACTACTTTCAGCCTGACTCATCCTACCCACCTTACCCTTCATCAGCATGGCATAGGCAGATTTCACAGAAAAGCAACCTTTGTTCAGGAAAGGGCTTACCCACAGATCATGAGCTCTAGGGTTCAGATGCTTTATCAGAAGGATTTTATCTGTTGTTTCCTCCTCAAACAAGGTTCTGACAATGACTTCATCCCATTCACATCCTTCTGCTACTAAGAGATCCTTCACACAGAAGTTGTGTCCTTCAATCTGCACCCTCATCTTTGGTTTGCCCTCTGGAATTCCTGGAATCCAGTTGTGGTCATTGAGCTTTGTATTCACTCCATTTTTAACCAGAATGCTTAAGTGAGACTTCAGTATGGGAATAAAGGTGGCCCAGGAGTTCCACAGCCAAGAAGCTCCACTCCTCTTACTGCAGTCAAAAATAGAAGTGGTGGGGAAATACTTGTTTTTCAGCACTTTACTCACAAGAAGGTTAGGCTGTGCTATGACTCTCCACAGCTGTTTGAGGATAAGGGCCTTGTTAAAAATTCGGAAATCCTGAAAACCAATTCCCCCTTCCTTCTTTGGTATAGACAGTTTGTCCCAAGCCATCCAATGCATCCCAGAATGTTGACCATCACCTTTACTCCACCAGAATCTAGCCACTAGTTGACAAATTTCCTTACACAAGCTCTGAGGCAGCACAAAACAGGACATCACAAATATAGGTAATGCATTTAACACTGATTTCACAAGGACTTCTTTCCCAGTTGTTGAGAGAAAATTGTTCTTCCAACTTTCAATCCTGTCCTTAACTGCAGCAACCACAAATTGAAAAGTATATTTCTTTGAAGCTCCAATACTCAATGGCAACCCTAGGTACTTTGAGGATCTTTTAAAAACCACACCTCTGAGGACAAAGCAGATCTGAGTTTTCAGTGCATCACTACAGTTGGAGCTGATAAATATTGATGATTTGGTCAGATTGACTTTCTGCCCAGTAAAAGATTTGTATTTTTCCAGAATCTCAAGAAGCAACATAGCATGTTTGACATCAGCCTTACAGAATACTAAGGCATCATCTGCAAAGAGCAGGTGAGATAGCATAGGTCCCTCTTTAGTCAGTTTAATCCCCTGGAAATGACCAACACCCATCTTGAAGTTTAAAAAAGATGATAACAGCTCTGAGACTATTATGAACAGATAGGGTGATAGTGGGTCACCCTGTCTCAGTCCCCTAGAAGGAGTCACAAACCCTTTCACACTGCCATTAATGTTGAATGAAAAAGTAGAGGAGCAGATACAACCACATATCCATCTGATAAATTTAGAGTGAAAGCCCATCTTAGCCATAGTTTTCTTAACACAATCCCATTCCACCCTGTCATATGCTTTTTCCATATCGAGCTTAAGAGCCATGAACACATTATGACCAGATTTATGCCTATCCAGATAATGGAACACCTCATGAGCCAGCACAACATTATCTAATAATTGCCTGCCTGGGATGAATGCAGTTTGAGAATGGCTCACACAAACAGAAAGGCACTTTCTCAGTCTTTCAGCCAGAATTTTTGCAACCATTTTATATAACACTCCACAAAGACTAATGGGTCTATAGTTGCTCAAGGATTCAGGATAAAGGCATTTTGGAATCAAAGTAATGACAGTATGGTTCCAATTCTTAAGCATAACACCAGTGATGAAAAAGCTTTTGATTGCCTTACAAATGTCTCCTTTAACAATGTGCCAAAAATGTTGGAAGAAAGATGCAGACATACCATCTTCTCCTGGGGATTTTTCAGGTGCCATACTAAATAGTGCTGCTTTTATCTCCTCTTCCTGCACTGGTGTGATTAGTTCATTGTTCATGGCCTCTGAGATTGAGCAAGGGATTTGTTGCAGTAGCTCTGCACCCCCTCTGACACCTTCAGAGGAGAACAATGTTGAGTAATAATCAGCAATGTGCGAGGCTATGTTCTCCTCAGTATCATGGACAATCCCAGAATTGGAAATGAGAAACTGTATAGAATTTTTCTTCCTTCTCTGAGATGTATAAGCATGAAAGAACCGGGTGTTACAATCCCCTTCTCTCAACCACAAAGCTCTGGACTTTAATCTCCAAAACTGTTCCTCTTCCCTATGAGCATTGTCAAGGTCAGCTTTTACATGGCCCCATTCTTCCCAGTCCACCTCTCCCCCTTCCCTCCTCAGCTCCTCCATTCTATGAGTTAGGATTTTAATCATCTTTTCAGAGTTCCTCTTCAATGGTTTATACCAGGACAATAGAGCCATCCTGGTGTTCTTCACTTTCCCCTGCACTTGAAACATTTGAGATCCTGCCACCACTATCTCCCACCCTTCTTTAACTGCCTCATTAACACCTTCCATTTTCAACCATCTATTGTCAAATATAAATCTCTTTTTACTTCTCCCCTTTTCCACATCAGTGTCCAGCAAAAGCACATTGTGATCAGATGCACTCCTGAAGAAGTTGGAAAGTTTCATTTTTGGAAATCTCAGCTGCCAATCAAAAGAGACAGACATTTTGTCCAGTCTCTTTTCTACATACCCCTCAGAGGATCTATTATTGCCCCAAGTGTAAAAAGAACCCAGCTGGTCCATTTCTTGCATCTCCATTCTAGCTATGAATTCCTTGAAGCCATTGAAACTCGACTCAGGCCTCCAGATTCCCCCTCTTTTTTCCTCGTTGCTAGTAATTGCATTCCAATCCCCCATTAATGCCCAGCAACTTCCCCATCTACTTTTGCAGTCTTCTAAGAACTCCCATTGCCTACCTCTTAAAGTTCTGTCACAGCTAAGGTATACAAAAGTGATCCAGTACCAATCCTGTTCCCCGGCCCCTCTCAACTCAGTTTGAATACAAAAGTCATTTGCTATTACTTCCCTTATCTCCATGGTGAGGTCCCACATGAGAAGTAATCCCCCTCTTGTTCCATTAGGCTTCTCTAAGAACCACCTGCTCTCAAAGCCCAGTTTCTTGCACACTGTTTTAGTAAAATCAAAGGTTTTTTTTTTGTTTCTGACAGGAAAAAAATGTTTGGATGGTGGAGTCTTCTGACATCCTTGATCTGGGAAACTGTAGAGGGCCCACCCAGCCCTCTACAATTTCACACCATAGCCTTCATTGATCACCCCGGGGCCATTTGAGGCTGGCCTTCTCCACCTTCTTCAGTTCAGATTTTGTCCTCCTCTTCTTTTCCACTTTGTCCTCCTCTTGTACACCTCTCTCTTCTGAGAACAGAACCATTTCTCTGATTCTCTTCATAGGAGTTTCCATATTAGTTCCAGCTATGTCCTCATCCATCCTAAGCAGTCTACCATCAGAGATACTTCTCCTTTTCCATGTAGCTGTATGGCCTTTCTTAGCATGTTCCAGATTCTTTATAGTTGGCCTCTCAGTTTGTCCTGCCTCAAAATCCATTGTAGATTCAACAATCATCAGAGCCTTTCCTTTGCCCTCCTTCTCCTCCCTTTCAGTGCCACCACTAGTAAGTCTGAGAGGGTGATTCACCCTCTGGTCTCTGATAATCGTGCCTTCCACACCACTCTGCCCATCCTGCCACTGCTCAGGAGCTTGTCTTTGTACTTGTGCTATTTCTTCAGGAGTTTCACTAACCGAGACCACAAGTTCCACATTTGCAGTTTGCATTGGCTGGTTTGTTTTATTGCCTGAGCTACTGGCATAGCTATTCCTGCCTCCTGGATATGTCTCATTTGCTTTCAACCATTCTCCAAACTGTCCATCAGATACTTGCTTTCTATCAATATCCTCTGCTCTTTTCTCACAGTTTTTATCTAAGTGGCCCAGCTTACCACAGTAGTAACATAGATTGACTAGTCTTTCATATCTAAAAGCAACCATTACTTTTTGCTCTCCTAATGTGATATGGGATATCATATGACTAAAGGACAGACCGGCTTATCACGACGGTCAAACCGGCATGAGTAGGAAGAAAACCGCGTGGGCTAAAGGATGATCGACCAGAGCAGAAAAGATCGAGCTGAATGGCAGGGCTGGTCGAGGATCGACCTAGCGAAGGGGAGCTCGACCATGTCGAGCGCGTAGTGGGAAGGAGACAGTCGAGAGCGTGACCTGAACGCGAGTAGGCGCATGGGTGATATTCAGGAATCCCAACGGCCTATGTAAAGGAATATTTCCCCTCAGCGTAAAAGGGGACACGTGGCGAGAACCCAGTGGTGCCGAGTAAAAGTGGCGGTAACCACCTCTGACGTCCCTGACTTTTCTGACAATACGCGTACTGTGTATGTACGGACGGGCAGCGCGGGCAGGACAGCTCACCAAATAGCCGGGCAGCTCTTAGGGCAGGTATCTCACTCCTATATATATGGGGAGTGGGTCTTTTTTAGGGTTTACGATTTATCCATTACTTACTTTGGAAAATTGAACAAACATATACTGACTTAAGCATCGGAGGCTCTTCACCGGAAAACCCCTCCGGTGTGAGAGTTTTTGTGCAGGAGCGCGGCGTTCTATCGGCGAGGAAGAAGGAGGCGAACCGATTCCGAGCCGGTTGGAGTGTTTTGCGTTACCATTTGGCGCCGTCTGTGGGACTTTCGTTCAAAAAGTGGTGTGCTAAGATTTTTGCAGCTTGGTAGCTATGGCGGACGGAATTCCTAGGAGAGATTTGCAGGCATCGTTCGATGAGGCGTGGACGATGACGAGGCCGTTTGGAGAAGGCCCACCTCCGGGCTTCTCTGGACCCTTACTCACACCGGTGACTCCGACGCCTGTTCCCCAAGGTGTAGAAGTCACATCGGTGCAACCAGAGGCTGGTGCGGGTTCAAATCGGGCCCAAGAAACCCGCCCAGCTCAAGGGGTGGCGGTCCCAGCGCCGCCGCAACCAGATCTGGCCGCGACGCTGCAGCGAGGAGTGGCGGTACAAGGAGCGGCACCGCTGCCGACGGGGGACCAGCGTCTCGGCCAGCAGGTGGTGATGACGAGGCAGGAGATGCAGCAGATGGTGGCGAACGCGGCGGCACAGGCGGTCCAGCAGGTCACTCAAAGCCTTTCGCGAGTGGCTGCTGGGCCAACGATGGTGGATGAGGACGTGTCGAGCTATGGAGGAGATGGAGGCCTAAGAGACCGTGAGATGGAGAGGCTCGCGGAACAGGTGAGGCAGTTGCAGGCTAAGATGGATGGTCGACCTGAAAGACGTGCTCGAGGACATCCGTTCTCGAGGGATATATTGGCTGCACCATTACCTGTAAACTTCAGAGATATGAGTTTAATGTTCGATGGGACCACTGACCCGTCGAGGCATGTAAGGGCGTTTGAAAATTTGGCTGTGTTGCATGGTTATTCGGACTCGGTTAGCTGCAGGGCATTCTTGTCGACCTTGAGGGGAGGCGCGCTCGATTGGTTCCAGCAATTCCCTCATGGATCGATCAAGGACTTTGATAATTTCGCGGAAAAGCTGATAACCCAGTATGCGAGTGCGGTGGCACAGGAAAAGACGTATCTGACGTTGATGGCTATGAGGCAAGGGGAGAAGGAATCATTGCGTAAGTATGTCGCACGATACAATCAAACCTGTTTGGAGATCCCCACGGCCTCGGACGAGGTGAAGGCTGGAGGGTTGATACGAAGTTTGCGGGCGGGGCCTTGTCGTACATCTTTGGCTAAAACCCCTGCTCGTTCGTATGATGACGTATTGAAGAGGTGTAAGAAGTACATCAATTTGGAAGAAACGGAGGCTGAGTTTGCTAAGTTGGAGGATTTGGCTAAGCCTGAGCCAAAGAAGGGGAGGGCAAGCTCGCCTCGAAGAGCATCACCGGGTCGGAGATCGCCTAGAAGAGAGGGGCGTGGCAGGACTGATCGAGGACGAGAAGACAGATGGAAGGATCGACCGGTATTGGGGGGAAAGCGGTTCCAACACTTTACGCCCCTTAATGCGAGGATGGGCGAGGTACTGGTGGCCATTGAGAGGAAGATGGAGGACAAGGATGTGACGTGGCCGAGGTCGAGGCGTGAGGGGCCGACACAACCCAGGTCGGACAAGTATTGCCGTTTCCATAAGGATTATGGGCACAAGACGGAGGAGTGCAGACACCTCAAAGATGAGATCGAGCGCCTGATCAGGGCAGGGTATCTGAAGGAGTTCGTGAGCGAAGGGAAGGCGAAGCGGAAGGATAAAGGGAAATGTCGAGAGGATTCGGCGGAGCGGAGTGATCGAGATGATGATGAAGATGGTGATCCTCGAGAGGAAAGGGGTGATCGAGGAGTCAAGAGGAGACGGGGAAGTCAAGATCGAGGAGGCCAGGGAGTTCAAGGCCCGGTGAAGAGAGGAACAATTTACATGATCTCGGGGGGACCAACAGATGGGGACTCGAACAATGCGAGAAAAGACCATGTTCGAGCAATAAAGAGGAAGAGAGAGGAGGTGGGGATCACTGCTCGAATCCCGGAGATAAGTTTTCGAGCAGAAGATGCCGAGGGAGTAGTGTTGCCCCACAATGATGCGCTGGTGATAACGGCGGAAGTGGCGGGTTTCGATGTGAAGAGGGTGTTTATTGATACGGGGAGTTCGGTTGATGTGATGTTCTATGATTGTTTTGTGCAGATAAATAAGGAGCTCAACCTTGATCTGAAGCCGGTGACCACAGCCCTATATGGATTCAATGGAGGCGAGGTGATGCCGATGGGAGAAGTAAGCCTCTCTGTTGCACTAGGGCAGGGGGTGACGAGGAAGGTTCGAATGGTAAGGTTCGTGGTCGTGGGAGCAGAGTCCTCGTACAACATTGTCATGGGGAGGACTAGCTTAAACGCTTTCCAGGCGGTCGTGTCAACGTACCATATGACGATAAAATATCCGGTGGGGGAAAACGTTGGTGAGGTCGCTGGAGATCAGCTTACCTCGAGGAGTTGCTATCAGACCACGGTGAGCAACAATAAGCAACTCTCGAGGAAGCGAGCGAAGATGGAGGAGGGAGTACCGAGCCGACCTGGGGGCTCGAGGACGAGAGAAGAGAAGGACAGAGCGGACAAGGGGAAAGAAAAGGTGGAGATGCAGCCAGGAGGAGAGATTGAGGAGGTCCAGATGGTAGAGGGGTGCGAAGAGAGGAAATTCCGAATAGGCAAGGAGATAGAGGAGCCAATAAGATCGAAGTTGATTGCGTTGATCAGAGAGTTCGCGGATGTTTTTGCGTATACGGCTGAGGAGCTGACAGGGATAAAAGCGGAGGTGATAGAACACCGTTTGAACATAGACTTAACGGTGAGACCAGTAAAACAAAAAAGACGACACCATGGCGCGGAAATGGATAAAGTGATCGAGCAGGAGGTCGAGAAATTGCTGAAGGCGGGTCATGTCAAAGAGATCCAGTTCCCTGAATGGTTGTCGAACACAGTGATGGTATCTAAATCTGGGGGGAAGTGGAGGATGTGTATTGATTTTCGTGACTTAAACAAGGCGTGCCCGAAAGATCTGTACCCATTGCCTAGAATTGACCAATTGGTCGACTCTACCGCAGGTTGTGAATTGCTTAGTCTTATGGACGCATCCCAAGGATATCACCAAATCCCTCTGGCGCGAGAGGATAGGAAGAGGGTGAGTTTTGTTACGAGCAGAGGCACCTATTGTTATGTGGTGATGCCTTTTGGTTTAAAGAATGCGGGGGCAACGTATCAGCGGCTGGTCGACAAGATCTTTAAGGAGCAGCTGGGGAGGAATATGGAGGTTTATGTCGACGATATGCTGGTGAAGAGTAGGGTGGAGGCTGATCACGTGAACGACTTGAAGGAGACGTTCTTAACGTTGCGGAGGTATGGCATGAAACTGAACCCAGCTAAGTGTTCTTTTGGGGTGAAGTCTGGGAAGTTCCTGGGGTACATGGTGACGAAGAGAGGGATCGAGGTCAACCCGGAAAAGGTGAAGGCGGTGATCGAGATGAAGCCACCCACCAAGGTGAAAGAGGTGCAAATTCTGACGGGTAGGATAGCGGGTTTGAGTCGCTTCATATCCAAGGTGGCGGAGAAGAGCGGGCCCTTGTTTCGAACATTGAGAAAGAGCTCGAAATTCCAGTGGATGGAGGAGGCCCAGAAGGCGTTCGAGGAGCTGCAGAAGGTATTAGCTAACTTGCCCCTATTGGCTAAACCGGTTCCGGGGGAGGATCTAGTGCTGTATGTATCTATTGGAGAACTGGCGGTAAGCTCGGTTTTGTTGAGGGAGGAAGGTGCAGTGCAATTTCCAATTTATTACGTGAGTAAAATAATGCAAGGGGCGGAAAGGAAATACTCGGAGATCGAGAAGTGTGCTCTAGCGGTGGTGGTAACAGTCAGGAAGTTGCGGCCATATTTTTTGGGGCATAAGGTGAAGGTGAGGACGAATATGCCATTGGGAGAGACGTTAGGTCGACCTTCGGTGTCGGGTCGACTAGTCAAATGGGCAGTCGAGTTGAGCGAGTACACGATAGCATATGAACCAAGGAGGGCAATAAAGGCGCAGGCGTTGGCTGACTTCATACAAGAAGGTACGAAGGGGGAGGATGAGGAAGAAGGTGTTTGGCAAATGTTTGCGGATGGATCGGTATCGAAAGTGGGAGGAGGCTTGGGCATTGTTCTAATCTCGCCC